ATTGCGTTAGCCTAATAATTTAGAGGAGGGACACAACCAACCTCCTCTCTTATAGTAGAGATGGTGCCTGTAGGCAGGTGCATTCTGTTCCCACCACTGTAGATGGCTCCTGACACAAGTGGTACAACAGAGAGAGAGGAAATCCTAGGGACACACTCTCTATGGTTTCCTGGGTCAATGGGTTGGCTAGACTGTGGCCATGTGACCCTTGACAGCCATCTTGGGTCAGCAGGGTCTATTTAGGGCCCTGCCCCCGGGTTATTATTATTACAGGTATTTTATATGATGCAGTCAATGTATGCAGCACTTTATGTATATATTGTAGATTCACATCAGTCCCTAACCCTCAAGGAGTGTACAATCTAAGCCCCCTAAGCAGGGGCAGACTGACCATTTGGAAACTCGGGCACTACCCAAGGGCCCGGGGTCAGTAGGGGGCCCCATGAGATGCCCCTGGTACCTTTTTCATAGGCTTTTTTGAATTTGGGCAAGGACACAGGGGCCCTATGATCCCCTATTGCCTGGGAGCCCCATGAGTTGTCAGTACGCCCCTGCCCCTAACTCACATTCGTACTAGGTCCAATTTAGACAATTAACATACCAGCATGTCTTTGGAGTGTGGGGGAAACCAGGGTAACTGGAGGAAACCCATGCAGGCACAGGGAGAACATGCAAACTCCAGGCAGGTAATGCCATGGTTGGGATTCGAACCAATTACCCTAATGCTGCCAGGTGGAAGTGCCAACCAGTTAGCCACTGTGCTGCTCACCGCATGTATTTTTTGTGAGTGGTTAGTGCAGGGAGAGAGTCCCCGCTTGCTAGGAAGAGTAAGTAGTGGTAGGCAAAGGTTCCTCAGGAGGGAAAGGATAGGGACTTGCTAACCTAGAAGAAGTTTCCCCTCTTGGGACTGGACTGGCCAAGCTGCACTTCTCCCTCTGAAACAGACGGTACCTCTCCTCAGCCACATCTGACTACACTGGACTTTGAGTTATTTCCCTAGCAGCACTCTCACATCTGGGGTGTTTGTAACGTGGATATTCTTTTCAGTACAAGTTTTACGTTTTACTGCATGTGGACTCTGTGTATATACTACCTGCACCATGCTGCACCTCTCCACATGCCAGTCTGGATTTAGCCAACAAGTGATGCACCAGTATTAGACTTTTTTTTGGCCTCTTTTAGAACAGCTCCTTTACCTATTTCCTTTTTTTTTTTCTTCCTTTCCTTTTGTCTTATTGCTTTCAGCCCCCTTCCTTCATTATTCCTAGACCTAATGCGGAGTTGCTGCTTAGTTCTCCTAGAGTGTATTCATCATTCTCAACTTGATATCATATTGCTGCACAATGGGCATTTGGCAATGAAGCATTGTATTAAGCAGAACATCAGACCCTGTCTTTAGCCTGCCCCACCCTACAAATCCATAAATGTTATAGACACAGTAGCTTGAGTAAATTTGCTCTCTAGCATTTATACATTAGAGAAGAGCTCCATTCAAAATATTAAGGTAAAAATGAATAGCCCATTAATCCTTAAAATGGCAAAACTAGCTTTGCTGCAAAATGTACCTGCAATCCAAAGATTCCTACAATACTTCTTTCTGCCCCTAGATGTCAGTCTAATGACCAGCATTATTCAACTCTGTCAATATGCATTCTCTTTCTATCAGCATTTCTCTAGTCATCACATGAACTAACTTGATCCTTGTGCTGTTTCTTCCTCTCACAATTACAATGTTACTAAACCCAGGACCCTGCATTATATCTGGTCTCCCACAGTACACACAACATGGAAATGCAATTATTTTAGTAAATATAAACTGCTAAATATCTTTTCTCATCAGCAGTTAGAGCAGTCTTGTGACTTCAGCTGAGCACTGGTTAAAGCTTGGAGGAGGAGTATTCTTTCTGCTCTAGGAGGATGCAGAACTCCTGACTTCTGCTGTCTGGACAGTGCTGATTGGCCCTGTGATGATCACATTCCCTCTCCCAAGAAAAAAAAAATACACACTAAACTAATACACACTAAGCAATACACACTAAACTAAGCATGTGCTGAAGGGCTATGGTTTCAGTCTGTCTTATCAGCATGGACATTTGAACAAGAAGAGGGTCAGAGAAGACAGGATCAAACAGCCTTTTTACACAATGCAGAGGATTAACCCCTAAGATTCCATAGTAAGTATAACACGCATCATTTATTGAATATACAGACTGATTTTACAGTTGTGGGTTTAGTAACACGTTAAGCCCTGCTGTATAAAGACTGCAAGAGACTGATGCTAGGCCAAATGCAGTTACTTAAACTTCTTACATCTAAAATACATTCAAGTGGTTGTGACCCCTTAGTCTGGGTTCACATACAGTATATGCGAATTCAGATGTATTTTGAACCACACCAACTCGCTTGCCATGCTATGAAACACTTTTGCACATACATGCGGGCTGGCTACAGTACAATTTTAAAAAGGGTCCTGTGCGATTTTCAGTGCGGTGCAGGTGTGATTTCCAATCTGATACACTGTAACATTTTGCATTGGAATTGTACCTGCACTGCATGAAATAAATTGCACTGCACCAACCTTTGAAATGCACTGCATCCCAGCCTGCAAATATGTGAACCCAGGCTCAAATACAAACCATGAGGTGATCAGCCTCAGATACCAAAAAATGAAACAAAACCTCCTACACAACCTGTATCTGTTTATTTGTAGCTATTTCAGATGTACAGATGTATAGAGTCCTGAGTTTATACGGCATTTCTGAACATAAAAAAAACAGGGCAGGGAGTCGAAGTTACACTCTGCAGAACTAAGTAATTGCTGATTGGAGGGAAGGGTTACCCCCGCCCCTTTACACAGTACACATGAACAGAGCTGAGGCTGTCAATCACAGTCTGTGTGCTGGAGCTACCTTCCCTGTCAGTTTTACCTCTTGGTGTCAAGAAAACTTGTCAGAAGTGACTCATATAGATAGCAGAGGAATGAGGCAGCAGAGAGAAATTACACTTAATGACACTTGGAAAAAGTACACACTATAAAGGGATATATTTGTTCACATTACAGCCACTTTAAATGATGTATCAGAGATTATAAAGCTGCGACTATTTGAGTCATTTATATCTGTGTGGAGTTCAGTTTTATATTTGTGCAGTCAGATTGCATGTTGCCAATTCATAGACAGTGCCATTGCTTCTCTTGGTTTTCTATTGCAGGATATTAAAGTGTTACTAAGCCCACAACAGTAAAATCAGTCTGTATATGCAGTAACGTATGCTTGTTATACTCACTGTGGAACCTAAGGGGTTAATGTTCTGCAACTTAAGGGGTTAATCCTCTGCATTGTGTAAAAAGGCTGTTTGATCCTGTCTTCTCTGACACTCCTCTTGTTCAAATGTCCACACTGATAAGACTGACTGAACCCATAGCTCTTCTGCACATGCTCAGTTTAGTGTGTTTTTTTTCTTGGGAGAGGGCATGTGATCAGCACAAAGCCAATCAGCACTGTCCAGACAGAAGAGGTCAGGGGTTCTGCATCAGCACAGGGCCAATCAGCACTGTCCAGACAAAGGTCAGGGGTTCTTCATCCTCCTAGAGCAGAAAGAAAACTCCTCCTGCAAGCATTATCCAGTGCTCAGCTGAAGTCACAAGACTGCTCTAACTGCTGATGAGAAAAGGTATTTAGCAGTTTATATTTACTAAAATAATTGCATTTCCATGTTGTGTGTACTGTGGGAGAACAGATATAGTGAATGCAAGGTCCAGGGTTTAGTAACACTTTAAATCTCCTATATGGCCATCAGCAGAAACACATATTCATATAAAAAAATGCAAATTAATCACTTTTAAAGCGGAACTTCAGGATAATAAAAAATTTTCATTTATGCCAGAAAGCACAGCCAGAGTTGTACTTGTGGCTTTGCGGGTATGAGAGCTATGAGAACTGTAGCTCTCATCTAGTGAAGAGCCTGTTGCTTACCCACCTTCTCCCCTTGTCCATAAAACATAAGAGTATAAGACATTTTGTGAAAGGACAAGAGGAGCAGAAAGGGAGGATAAATGACAGGATCCTTTCACAGCATGAGAGCTAGAGCTCACATAACTATCCGACATAAATGAAACTAGAATTTTTTTTCAACTAAAGCCTGCTGTAAGCTGATGTCACTCAGCTTGTCCAGGCTCAGGAAAGATCCCGACAGTCAAGATCCATGCAAATGTCTGGACTGGTAGCTGGCTCAACCTCTTAGCTAACCAATGGGAGACTGGGCCAGCCACTTCCACCCCTCCACAGCCCGGAACTCCAATGAGCACTTTAAATCTCCTATACGGCCATCAGCATAAACACATATTCATATTTAGTGAGCACTGGAGGGGCAGAACAGAGAGCTGGTGACTGACAGTCACTGGCTATCTGCTTACTGAAGAACTGAGAACTGAGCGATCAGCAGTCTTGGATTGCTCAGTTCTTGGTCCTAGAGGCAGTGGGGCAGGCATCAATGCTGCAGCCTTCTACCGGAGTATGATTGTTTATTTTTTTAGTTATTTCCAGACTTCTCTTTTAAAAGTTTAAAAAGAGTTGATTTACCAAATGTAATTTATATATTCAATTCTTTTCATATGAATACATTTCTACCGATCTCCATTGATACACTAACAATACTAATTTGCATTCTTCAGTGATATAGGAAAAAACTGGAAAACCAGCAGTGTTTGTTTTGTGCTTTTTACCCTGTTGAATGTCTTTATTACCCTGCAATTTGTGCTTCACTGAGGAACAGTCCTACCTGCCCCTAAACTTCTGTCATGACAAGGCACAGACTTCTTATTTCCAGCACATGCTGCCATTCTTATCTGCAGATTTGTGAACTTCCTGTAAAATAAAGAAGGTAAAACATAAAACAGGTGCTTGGCTGACATTACAATACATTGTTTGAGTTAGAGAAAATAATTATTAATGCATTATTTCAAAATGTCCATTTTTACAAAATATTTCATTTGTTTCTAGACTCGGAGGATGAGGAGCCACCTGACCTTGAGTCGGAATCTGGAGACGTGCCAAGCAGTTCAGAAAGTGGGTCCTAACAGCATGCTCCTTGAGAGCCAAGATTTGAGGACGCAGATTATCCAACTGTTGACTGAGCTGGAAGAGACCAGGGAGCTGGCACTGAAACACGAAGACAGCTTTCTGGAGATGCAAGGTAACATTATTAGGGTTTCAGGGATTTCCAGCCCATCATTATGTGTAGAGAGGTGAATTAATAATTTCAATAGGTTTCTTCTGGGTATTTAATCGTATTTACAATATATAAACGTTGTGTCACGAATTTGTTCAAGTTTAAACTTAATAATAAACATTATGTGTAATTGTGAGGAGGCAAATATGCTGGTTAAGTATACATTAATACGATGTTAAATCAGATTGGTGGGGATGATACCTGAAATAACAGGACCAGTTGGTGGTGATTCAAATCAGTGGTGGCTGCGATGTGTTAGGGATTACTGAAAGGACAAGGGGATTAGTGGCAGAGGTGTGTGAGGGTACAGGGGTATTCTGTGGTGGCAGAGGTATGTTAGGGTGTACAGAGGTGTTCAGGGGGAAGATTGTTGGCAGGGAGCTCAGGAGTGGTATAGGGGAATGTAGTTGTTGCAGAGCTATGCAAGCAGTGTGCATAGGTGTGAAAGGGGGGTACATTGTGCAGAAGTGTTTGTAGAGGGGAACAGTGGTGGCAGTTCTGCTTTTAAAGGGTATAGAGGTTTGCAGGGAGTGGGGTACATAGGTAACATATGTGTATAGTGGGAGTGCAGTTGTGGCAGAGGTATGTTGTGTGATGAAGAAGTGTGCAAGAGGGTGCAGTGGTGACAGAGATGTGCAATAGAGAAGAATGATGTCAGAGGTGTGTGCTGAGAGTACAGTTGTAGCAAAGTGGTTGTAGAGGTGTGCAAAGAGTTCAGTGGTGCAAGAGGTGTGCAAAGGGTTAAAGTGATGCAGAGTTGTGCGCAGGGCTAGAGTGGTGGCAGAGGTGTGAGAAGGATGCATTTGTGGTAGAGGTGTATGGAAAGTGTCATACTGACATATGTGGTACAGTGGTGGCAGCAGCGTGTGGAGAGTGTGGTGGTGGAAGAGGTATGCAAAGGGGTACAGTGGTGGCAAAGGTATAGTATGTGAAGGGATGCAGGGGTGGCAAAGGTATAGTATGTGAAGGGATGCAGGGGTGGCAGAAGTGTGTGAAGGAATACAGAGCTGTGTGACAGGGTAAAATAATGCAGAGGTGTTTGGTGGAGTTGAAAAAGTGTTGGCAGAGGTGTGCAGGGACTTCAGCGGTGGCAGAGGTGTGTGAAGAGGTACAGTGGTGGCAAAGATGTGCGAAGGGTACATTTGTGGTAGAGGGGTTTGGAGAGTGCCATAGTGGCAGAACTGTGTGAAGGAGTACAGTGGTAGCAGAGATGTGCAAAGAGGTACAGTGGTAGCAGAGGTGTGCTGGGAGTGCTGGTGGAATAGGTGTGTGAAGGGGCATGGAGCCCAACTCTTGAGTTTGTGGTGCTACCTTGTTTGTTGGGACATGCTGGCAGTTCTATCACCCATAATCCCTTACCCCTCATTGGCTTCATCACGTGAGTCTTTTACCAGGAACACCACCTCCATAGCAGTAGCACCACCAAGCTCCCCAGAGTCTGTGCCAATCTCACTCTGGCAGGTTCATATGTGATAATGGCACAAACATGCTGACCATTCTTCATCAGCGGGAGATCAAGAATGTGTGCATGTCCTCACCCAATAGTACCCAGGATTCCAAATTCTGCTACGCCAGACCAGGAGGTTTTGTTGACATTTTCTCTGCTCCTATTTGACTGTGGCTCACCTGACAGAAATGCAACACCAAAACCTGGAGCTTGCCAATAGATTGGTATTGGACTCCTCCATGCTCTGGAGTTCCATCTTCCATATGCCACAGAGGTTGTACCAGCAGAAGTGATTAATTGGTAAGTACATGTGATATTATAGGATGAAGATGTTATTTAGGGAGCTTGAGATTCCACCCCCTCCTAATCCCAACAGTGACTATGTGGGCACCATGGCTGACACTGATGCTGTTAGAAGCAAGAACCACTGGCAGCAGCTGACCCAAAAAGTGCTTGACGTGCTGGCCTGCCTGGCTGCAAGTGTCATGTCAGAGTAGGTCTTCAGTGCAGTGGAGGATTTGTTACTGGGAAATGCATAATTCATTTATGACCTGTTCTAAAAGGAAAAGATCAAACACTTTTCCCCCTTGTTTTTGCTGCTGCTGCTGCTCACATTAATAGTGTTACTAAACATCAACAATACTGCCTCCTGAAATAAAAAAAATTCCTTAAAATTAAAAAAGGTCTGACCCTCTAATTTTTTGTTCTCTTTGCCTTCGACCTCAACATGTTCTCATTTTTACCAAAACTGTCTTGAACTGCACCATTTTTACAGACCTGTATCTGGGAGCGGATGCTCTGATGTTTTGCAGGAAAACACCTGCTTTGTGTCTGTATTTGAGGCCTGTTCCCACTGATGCCACGTTGTCCTGCCACTTCTCACTTTTTACATAACTGTATCTAAGAACCGATGCTGTAAATTTCCATAAGAAAACACCTACATTTGGACCTGTTGACACCGATGTCATCATTCCTGTAAATGATGTAATGAAATGTATATTAATTCCTAAGATACTCATGGAGATAGCACAATGCAGTGTCAAAGAACACAAAATGTTTTTTTGTTTGAAATGGACTTTTATTTGCAGGTATCCTAGAAGAGGAGAGGCTGGCCAGTGCTCAGCAAGCTGAGATTTTCACTAAGCAAATTCAGAGGCTCCAGGGTAAGCTACAAAGTAACATACTTGTATCTAATGAACATTGCACCTTCATTATTCTGTGAATCTATTGTGAAATAGCATTACTGGGCAATAAATGTTCAGGTCAGTTTTTCATAAAGGCTGGAGAGGTTAATCACTAAATGATTTCTTATATCTCATAGGGATTCTGGTGGTGACTCTTCAGTTTGCAGATTTGCCCAACTACCATTGGTATTATGAAGGAGAAATACTGTCACTGTTGGATTATTAATTTTTTTTTGGAGGATGCAACAGTAGGTGGAAAAACATCCCCAGGTATAGGTTAGCAAACGCATCACTCTAAGTTGTTACTGAAAAAGTGCCAGATGCTATGTCAATAAGATCCTGTCAACAGAATCCTCAAACATAAAAGGCCAGAAGGCCAGGAGTGGTTCTTTATGACCAATGGCATTGCTTATGTATACTGCTACTAATGCCCATTAAGGCAGATAACAGAGTTAGTTACACGATAACTCAATTTCCAGGAATCTTCAAGGACAGCTTATCAGAGACAGGCTCCGCCCATCTGAAACAGGAAACACATCATCCACAGTAAAAAAAAGTGATGCTACTGCCATGAAAGCTCAGTACTAGACAAAAAACGAAGGCAATAACACATGAACAAATATATACATAAAGAAATATGTCCATACTACCTCAAGAGAATTCCCATTGCCCTGGATGATTCCTAAAATTTAGTTACCAGGTAACTAACTCTGTTTTTCCTAGTTTGCTTCCAGGACAACTTATGAGAGGATTTGGCTAGAAAAATGACCCTCACACCCAAAGGGTTCATCTTGGCTGGCAAGAAGTTTGACCCTGTTGTGGTGTAGGAAAGGTGCAAAACCTGTCCATGCGACTGCCCTGCAGATATGGACTAGTGATGCCCCCACTTTTTCTGGCCAAAAAGTGGCCAAAGCCTTCATAGAATGTGCTTTAATGCCAGCTCAGGGGCGGACTGACCATTTGGAAACTCGGGCACTGCCCGAGGGTCCGGGGTCAGTAGGGGGCCCCATGAGATGCCCCTGGTACCTTTTTCATAGGCTTTTTTGAGTTTGGGCAAGGACACAGGGGCCCCATGATCCCCTATTGCCCAGGGGCCCCATGAGTTGTCAGTCCGCCCCTGTGCCAGCTGGAGGAAAAAGCTACTATAAAGGTAAGTAATCTCAATAGCGTTTCTAATCCACCGAGCAATAGTATTTTTAGTGGCACCTTCTATCCTGGGACCAGAAAACACTATAACAATGCTGTCTGATTTCCTCCAAGGTTTAGTTAGTTCCAAATATGCTAATAAAAAATTTTCAACATCCAATTTGTGAAAGTCTACCTCTTTTTATTGCTTGGATGGTAACAAATAATGGAATGATAATTTTGTGAGACCTGTGAAAGTCATTTGCTACTTTTGGAAAAAAGGCTCCAAAGGATCCAAAGTTAGGATAATTTTATCAGGTACAATGGTACAATTGAGTTCCATAATAAGAAGAGCTTGGATCTCACTAACTCCCCCTAGCAGATACTAGAAGTACCAGTTTTACTTTTTTACTTTTTTAAATGTCAGAAACTTGCTCAGATACTCTTCTACTAGTTTCAAAAGGAGAGAGCAGAAAACATTTTAGATCCGTAGAGAGATCCCAAGGAGGTAACTTTTTGACTGGCGATTCTCATTTCCATGTTATAACCAAGATAAATATTTTAAAAAGAGGCTGATTTTCTAATATGATTCTCAAAAAATTGACAAGGCTGCCTGTACTTTGAGTGTACTGAAAGCAAGGATTTTTTTTTTCATCTGTGCCTGCCTGCAGAAACTCCAGAACTGCTGGAATGACTGCAATATTGTTTATGCCACTTGACCTTGCCCAGTGTGAAATTTTCTTTGAAATTGTCCAGTAAATGGTTTTAGTAGTATTTTTTCTCTGGTATCCAGTGTTGTGGCTACCACTTTACCTGACAACCTCTTTTGCTTTCAGGAAAAATAGGGTTTGCTTTGACTGGTAATGTCCAAGAAGGGGTATGCTCAATCTGCACACTTGCAAACCAAGCTCTTTTCGGCTAAAAAGACACTATGAGAATGACATTCACCTTGTCCACAGAAATTGTTTTTGTATCTCCTTTTAGATGAAATGGCGGAAAGGCATGCTGTAAGTTTGTTTTTTTTCTCCAAGGATGAGCCCACGTATCTACTCCTATGCTGCGATCATTTATCTCCAGTGAGAGAATTGTTTCCACTTTCATGTTGATTTTTGAAGCAAAGAGGTCTACATCTAGTGTGTCCAGATATTCATGATTTGGATAAGTGTTTGTTGGTTTCTTTCTGCTGAGAAAATCTGTTGATGTATGAAACTGTTGTCACATTGTCTGACAGCACTTGCACATGGTGACCTTTTATCTGAGGTCCAAATGTCTTGCTCCACCACTTTCATTTCTCTAGTGTTTGAAAAACTCTGGGCCCACGTGGGATCCCATGTATCTTGTGTCATTAGTTCCCCTATGTAGGTGCCATTGACTGACTCCACCTTCCTTGGGTAAGATTTTCTGTATTTATCCACAGTTTCCATGCTTACAAACTCCTACAGTAGATCTGCGAGGTCTCGTATGGAACTGTGCCCAAAGCACCAATTTTGGACATTTATTAAATTATGGCATCTTCCTCATTAAAAGGGGACCCATCTATTAGGATTCAATGATAAATATATGCATTTTTCCGAGCTTTTCCATTCTGCCATGATGGTATCTTTCAATGCTTGATGTATGGGTAATATGCATCCTTGTTTAGAATGAAGCCCCATATACTGTACAGGCAGTTGGGTTCTGATACTTTTTTTCTCTTCCTTGAATCTAAGGTATCATGTATACCTTGCAGGTGTTCCTCCGTTTCTTCAGTAAAGGAACAAAAATATCTGCATTTTATCACTGGACCTATTCTCCTTGAGTTCCCTCTCCTCTGACTCCTGAGATGAACCAGAACTGTCCATTGGTTTCTCTACCATGACCTGTTTGTTGAAGAAAACTGTGTAAACAACTGCCAAGTAAACATAGATACAGAGGTACTAGGTATATTGCCAAAGGAGCTTGTGAAAAAAACATCTTTTAACAGTGATCTGAAAGACTGAAATGTAGCAGACATTTCCTCCCTCATCAAATCCAGATATCTTTTGAAAAAGTCAAAAGTTTCTTCACTAATATATCCATACAGTGCTGACAAAGTGGTTTCTGCCAGGAAACTGAGAGTTTGCTATGACCTGCACCAAATTTTGCATGTATTGTAGAAGTATTTTGGAGACATAACTTCTGGGACTTTGGCCTTTGAACCATTGTCAACATGGTCTGCCAAACCTGCGGCAGCCAACATCACCCCAAGGACGCTGCTCACTACAAATGGCTAGCCCACTTCACCTGTCAAAAAAATAGGCTGACCAGCCCTGCCTAGGTTCGGTTCATGCTCTTGGGCTAGCATCTGTGGAATGGCCCCTGACTCATGTCCATTGTGATCTTGCTTTAGATCCAGGCGTAGCTGCATGAAAGTCTTGACCTGAAAGTGCATCATCCATCTGTACCAGACATGACATCACTAGTACCGGAAGGAACCTAGGAGTACTCCTAAAGGCACACAAACAGTGTGCATCTCAGCCAAGCTAGACCATATTGCTTTCTGTACCTATCTTGAAGGAGATACTCAAATCTGCTCCAGCAAGAATTGCCATCCTGGTTCCCCCTTACAGAGTACCAATAGGAGCAGGTAACAGACCAATGCCATGACTGCAGCTAAGGGTGGACTGCAGATGGGGCTAGGCCCCAGGCAGGCTGGGGCCCACAAATAGGCCAAATAAAAAGAGGTCCGACAAAAAAAAAGACGTGAGACATAGCAGGTATTAACACTGTCCAAGTACTCTCACCCAGGAGGACCTGACATATAGTGGAAAGGAGGTTGAACTAGAACCTTCTCCTGACCATATTTAGTAGTCCAAGTGGAAAAGGAACTAGGGATGAAAAAAATAGGGAGAGAGGGTCCCTGAGCTAGGAACACCTAGCAAGGAAAACCTTAGGTGTGCCTAAGTAGTTGGGGATAGCAACTGGTAGGCACCTGCAACTAACACAAAGGCCTGTAAGAAAATAAACCTGCTTGGGCAGGCTGGAGGAAACACTAAAAACGTGGATGATGTGTTTGTTGTTTCAAGTGGGCGAAGCTCATAAGCTGTCTCATAACATTACAAGGGTAATATTGTATACTTTTCATACTTCTTAGATGGTTTCTGTACAATTATCAGGTTTTATAACTGTTTAAAAAAAATCATCTAAGATTTGTATTACAAAACGTTTGCATCCATGTTGCTATTATTATTTGTGTAACGTTTAGATATAATGGGGCTGATTTGCTAAAGGTAAATAGAGTGTTCACTTTGCAAGGGAAGCTGCAGTTTGTATGGCCAGGGAAGCTGCAATCTGTAAGGCCATTATCACTAGAGGTGCAGCTCTAGGTATATCATCCAATAATCTGCAAGCCAAACTGCTTTTTTTTATTTTCCTTACATGTGATTGGGTATTACAAAAGTTATCAGCCTTTATAAATCAACCCCAATATCTCCTAGTTGGTCTGAATTTCCACAAGGTTCCACAGCTTTTCTGACAACATTATATGGTTACAAACGATAGACCTACTTTTGGCAAATAGGCATTATTAACAAATTCTAACGTTTGTCCAGAAAAGGATTATTGAAGTGAAGAAATGTACAGTATAGATTTTAGCACAGAAACAGTCTACCTGGCTGGATATTAGCAAAAATGCTGTGTCCTCCTTTAGCAGAAATCCTTCACCACCACCACCGTCCTCTTTAGGTATTGCAGGGCTTAATAGAACTAAAGCTGGCCATTCATGGTTTTGAAATTTCAATCCATGTGTTGCCCTCTCTGTTTAACAGAAGTAAGTCGATAGACCGGCCTTCTACCAAATGGTCCTGCTGGAAAACCAGCATTTGATCAAGCTCATGTAGCCAATGGGCTGCAACAATGATCAGTGTATTTTGACAGTGGGGGAATCCCACTGTCAGAATAAAAAGACACAGTGCAGAGAATTTCCCCATCCACCTCAAATGTGTTGATGGGGAACTCTGTTCAGTTTTTTCTGTTTAGCCCGCTGGCTGCACAAGGAAACTGAGCCATGTATGGCTGGCTTAAAGGAATTGTCATGACTTTCTGCCCAGCTCCTCCGTTCATATAAGCCATTCTACAGCTAATATGAATAAAACAGGATCAATACAAAAAGTGTCAAATATTAGTGAGCGCTAGGAACAACAAATCAGAAAGCAGCTAGTACAAATAGGTGAACCGACTTCAATAACAAAAATATAAATATGTATAAAGTTGCAGCACTTATATATTATACAATAAAATGTGTGAAAAGCAAAACCTTTATGTGGACTTATTGTAAATCAAACATATAAGTGGAATAACCATAAATAAAGTCCAAAGAGTGAAGTGTCCTTCAGTGTTTAAAAATCAATAATGACCAAAAGGTTGAAGTGACATCCGTGCAGAGTACATCCCTGACAATCCTCCACCACTATGCACTCACCAGAAATATAAATCAGCCGGGCTTTATACAGAAATCCCTCTGAACAGCATATTACTTCTTCATTGCAGGAATAGACATGCAGCCTTACGGAAGCATCAGAAATGCAAAAACCTGAACTTTATACAGAGATCCCTCTGAAAAGCATAGTAATTCTTTATTACAGGAATAGACATGCGGTCTTGCAGTGGCAAATCCTAGAAAAGAACTGTGTCACCTCCAGCTCCAGTCGACAAGGCCGGCATGGCTGCAGACTAACGTAACTAAGCAGAGATGGACACAGATCCACACCCACAATGTAGGCGATAGCTGGAGAAGCTCCAAAGGCCATTCTGTCCAGTACGATTCCTGCAGTCCCAGTGCGGGATCCAGGATTGTGCTGTGCACGGCTCAGTACCCTCCATGTTCCAGTTCAGATTAAGAATATCTGATGATTCCATACCAGCAACATCTGCTTTACTGTAAAGAGACTCAGAGGAAAGCACTGGGACTGCAGGAATCGTGCTGGACAGAATGGCCTTTGGAGCTTTTCCAACTTTCGCCTACCTTGTGGGTGTGGATCTGTGATCATCTCTGCTTAGTTATTGTTAGTCTGCAGCCATGCCGGCCTTGTCAACTGGAGCTGGAGGTGACACAGCTCTTTTCTAGGATTTGCCACTGCAAGGCCACATGTCTATTCCTGTAATGGAGAAGTAATATGCTTTTCAGAGGGATCTCTGTATAAAGCCCAGGTGTTTTGCATTTCTGAATTTGCTTCCGTAAGACTGCATGTCTATTCCTGCAATGGAGAACTAATATGTGTGACGGGAGTCACTTTGGGTGGGGGGCCCATGGAACCCAGCTCACTTTGGAGAGGTAGGTAGACCCCTGTCTCAGCTCCCCATATTCCTCTTATGTGTAAATCACCCTGTGCCTGTTAGAGGTACAGGGTGATCTGTCCTAATATTGTGTGGGCTTTGACTCAGACTGTGTAGACATGTTTAGGAGACAGGTGGGGGTTGTTGATTGTTTAATGTTATGTGGCTGCATCCCATTGTTTGTTTGGCCTGGGAGCAAACTATAATGGGATATATGTATTTATGTGTATTAGCTTAGTGGGGGGTCTCCAGCAGCCCTCCCTCCTGATGGGACTGTCTGCTGGTGTTGAATACCTGTGTGTCTCTTGTTACTAAATGTAGATTGCCCCGCCCTGTGTCATTATGCAGGGAGGGGGATTGTCCCCTGAGTGTATATATCTTGTATCTGTATTCAAATAAAGTAGTTTACTTTTGGATTACTTCAAGACTGGTGTCGTCTAGTTTTGTATGGTCGGCTGCTGTGTCTGTTGTCGGTGTTCGAACGGGGAAGCGGTATTCTAACGTAAGTACTCAAGCGCAGTCTGGGTTGGTTCCATTATAATATGCTCTTCAGAGTGATTTCTGTATAAAGCCCAGTTGATTTATATTTCTGGTGAGTGCCTAATTTTGGAGGATTGTCATGGATGTACTCTGCATGGATATCACTTCAACTTTTTGGTCATTATTGATTTTTTAACACTGAAGGACACTTCACTCTTTGGACTTTATGGTTATATCCACTTTTTTTTTACTTTTTAATAAGTCCACATAAAGGTTTTGTTTTTCACATATTTTATTGTAGAATATATAAGCACTGCACCTTTATACATATAACACAGGATCAATGATTGGAGGGGGCAGACTTTCCTTTTGATTGCCTGAACTCAATTTAGACTTCACAGAGGTTTACTAACTAATATAAAAATGGCAATTACCATTTACTGTCCGAAACAGTGCACAGCATGTGTGTTTTGTTGGCATTTAAATCATTAGAGTTCTAAAGAAAACCATATATGAGTCCAAAAAATTGCATTATGAAACTTTGACGATTAACGTGAAAAAAGGTTGAGCACCTTGGTTCTACTTAATACAGTCATCTCCTAATATTAGAGAAGGGCTGTTTAACATCACGTTTAGTATCACAGTTATACCTTATTATGATATGTTGTCTTCATCCATCTGTAGCTCAGTTGCGTTCAGTACAGGAGGAGGTGGACAGCTTGGAACAGGAGAAGGAGTGCGAGCTTCTGGAGGTGTCCCAAGAGTTACGCTGTGCACAGGAGGAGATCATGTCTCTGCGTCAGTCAGCAGAGGAGGCAGCAGCTGAGCGTGAGAGCGACATTGCCTCATTGCAAGAGGAGTTGTGTAGACTGCGAGCAGAGCTACATGAGCTTCAGGAGACAAGGCAGGAGTACGAGATGGAGATAACCACTTTAAGAGCAGAGATCAGCATGAAGAGCTGTAGTGTGCACGCAGGACAGGAACCTGCAACGCTGCAGGGTAATTGCAATGACTTTGTGTATTGTCATATTGTTCCCGATTGACAAGCCTAGGGGTCTCCAAATTTTTCAGTAAGAGAACCACATCATATATTTTACATATACAGTGTATCAGCCAAAAAATGATACATTTTTATAAATGAATGAATAAATTTAAATGAATGAATAAACATTCTCTAAGAAATAACTTCTTATCAGAAATCTTCTCTTCACATTAGAATCCTTACCATCATACCAGAGCCCCACCCTCTTTACATCAGAGTCCCTGCCTCCATTATTTCACAGCCCCCTCTTACATCTGGGTCCTTTCCAGAGGTCCTCCATACATCAGAGTTCCCTCTACATACTGTACATAACTGAACGCCAGACAAAATCTTTTAGTGGGCCATCTGTGGCCCATGGGCCATATTTCGGAGGCCCCTGTACTAGCCCATATCTAGCAAGGTGCTTTACAAACTCTGAACAGCACACAATAATATTCACACAATTAACTTTACTAATCAATGAACTTTCTATGCTGCCACTTTATTTCATTTACTGTACTTTATTTCATTTAGATAACATCAGGTTTGTGTAAAAAACTAGTGCAAATATCAAGTGCAGTAACTATAGCAGCCTATTAGAAACAATTATAAACATATATCCCATACCTGTCTATTGCTATAGGTTACTACGTATAGCATATTGCTGCATGGGCTTTTGTTTCCATCAGAGCTGCATCTCTCCCCATGGAAAAAGCAGCATAAAACAGGTTGCTGTAGCTTAGAAGAAGGTCAATTGCAGTCCAAACGTACCTGGGGATGAACTCTAAGGCCCTTATATTGTACCATGAATGTGCTGTTTTTCTGGCATCTCTATCCTCCAAGTGCTGTATGCAGGCAGCCCAGAAGTCTTTTTAGGATGCAGCTGCTGTGTGGAGACACAGCCACTCTTCCTAATGTGACATATGTCCAGTTGCGGGTGAAAGGCCCTGAACACAGACAATGTGCATTCAGTGCTGCTCACAGACTTGCCTGCACATTAGGATGGATGTCTATGTCCTTCCAGCTGCTGCATACTAATAGACTTTATTTGGCTGCTTGCACGCAGCACCTGGAGGCTAAGGACACCAGGAAAATGGTCCATTCATGGTATATGGGTCTCAGCACCCATGTGAACAGGGTCTAAACGATTTCAGAACTCTCTCAAATGCAAGCAGAATGCACCTGAAAACAAGCTGCGTTTTCCCCATGGACCCAAATCCAAAGACTGTCAATAAATGACCTTACATTGAGTAAGTCCATATCTTTGTGAGATAGCGGGTACCATGAAATGTTGTATGTGTGTGCCTCTATGCTCCATAGATCATATGTAAGGTAGATTATGGTTCAGCTATCATTTGATGAGTCCATTTTAATTGTAAAACTGTGTTGTATTGGAAAAAAAATTAACTTTAAGATAGATCATGGTAGAGACCCACAGTACTTTTACTTTTCCTTTTGAAAGTTAACTCTTATTGGCTAAAATACGTAAAGAGGTTCTTCACATTAGAGAGAAAACAATTGACAGTCAGCAGCTATGAATACTGTAGCTGCTGGCTTTAAATAAAAGGATACATACCTGTCCAGGGATCAGCACTGTCCTCACCTGGGCTGGTTCTTCACTAGTCATCAGGTCCCCAGCACCAGCATGTTTTCTGTGGAAGTCGGTTGTGACTCCTTGTGGCTTCACAGCCAACTTGCCGTTGCACATACACGAGCTGGGCTGCACTATGTCAATGGTCCCGCAGAAATTCTGGAACTTGTGATGCGTCCCAGAAGACTGAGGACAAAAAAAGGGAGGGGGCAGAAGTGGGAACAGGTATCAAAACTAGGTACCCCTTCCCCCCAAAAATGCTATTGTACCAAATGTAGCGGAGGGGGGGACGGGACATTAAAATGTTTACATATTCCTAACATGCAACAAAAGAGCTTTAAAATATTATTATTATTGTTATTATTATATAGTGTTTATATAGCGCCAATAGGTTTGCTCAGCACCTGTGGGGGGACAGTACATGAGACAATACAGTAACAATACAATACACGAGGGTTACGAGGGCCCTGCTCTTTCGAGCTTACAATCTAGGAGGGAGGGGGTAGAGGTACAGGAGGAAGTGGCTGTGGGGGATGGAGTGATAGGAGGAGTGGAGGAGAATGGCTGTTAGGTGAGGGTGGGGTAGGCATCCCTGAAGAGGTGGGTTTTCAGGGAGCGCCTGAAGGTGAGGAGGGTAGGTGACAGTCTTGGATTGGGGTAGGGAGTTCCAGAGGATGGGGAAAGTCCTGGAGAAGTCCTGCAGTCGGGCGTGGGAGGAGGAGACCAGGGAGCTAGAGAGTAGGAGGTCTTGTGAGGAGCGAAGGGTGCGGGTAAGGTGGTATTTGGGTATCAGGTCAGTGAGGTAGTTTGGGGCAGCGTTATGAATGGCTTTGTATGTCAGAGTTAGTCATTTGAGTTTAATGCGTTGGGCAATTGGGAGCCAGTGAAGGGATAGGCAGCGGGAGGGTGGCAGAAGTGGAGCGGTTGGTGAGGTGGATGAGTCTAGACGCTGAGTTCAGTATAGACTGAAGCGGGGACAGCCTGCGTTGGGCCGGTGAGAAGGGAGTTGCAGTAGTCTAGGCGTGAGATAATAAGGGAGTGTACGAGTTGTTTAGTGGTGTCTGGGGTTAGGAAAGTACGTATCTTGGAGATGTTGCGGAGGTGGAGCCTGCATGAATTTGCTAGTGATTGGACATGAGGTTGGAAGGAAAGGTTGGCGTACAGGGTGACACATAAGGCTTTGGCTTGCGGGGTGGGATTGACGGTGGCGTTGTTGGTCATGATGGAGAGGATGGGGGGGGGGGGGGGGTGCGGGCTGGGGGGAAAACTAGGAGCTCGGTTTTGGAAAGGTTTAACTTGAGGAAATGGAGCGACATCCAGTCTGATATGTCGTTTAGGAGGTGGGTGATGCGGGCAGAGACTGAGGGGGTGAGGTGAGGGGTAAGAAGGTAAATTTGTGTGTCATTGGCGTAGAGGTGATAGTTGAAGCCGTGGGAGTGTATAAGTTTGCCAAGGAAGGAGGTGTAGAGGAAGAAGAGAAGGGGTCCGAGGACAGAGCCTTGGGGGACCCCAACAGAGAGGGGGAGCGAGGGGGGGAGGTGGCAGCGTTATAGGTAACGCTGAAGGAGCGTTGGGATAGGTAAGAGGAGAGAGCAGAGTCCCTGATGCCAAGGGAGTGTAGTTTATTGAGGAGGAGGAGGGGGTGGTCGACTGTGTCGAAGGCCACGGAGAGGTCGAGGAGTAGAAGGACTGACTAGTGGCCGTTAGCTATCAGTGACCTTTCTAGCAGCTTGTATTCTGTTTAGGGCTCATTCACACCAGAACACGGCACAAAAACCCATGTTCTGTGCACATTTCCTGCTGGTTGTACAATCTGCGGTGGGTATCAATATAATCCTAATAACACCCCAAATGTAGATTGTAAACACAGTGTGTTTGCCTGCACCAGATCGTTCCGCAGTTCCATGTGATTTGATGCAGTGCAGTTTTGAAAAGCAGTGCACTACTTTTTGTGTGACCCTGTGTGATTTCATCCTATTCAAATGAATGGGCTGAAAATTGCACAGCACGGGAATCACACAAGAAGGAAAACTACATCCCTGTGTAATTCAGGTGTGAACTGACCCTTAATTTAAACAATTCTCAAAGACCACAGCAAAGACTCTAAAGTCTGAAGTTTCAGTCAGTTTCAAACAGATTCTTTCCATAAAATATGACATGCTTCTGTTATGAACTTTGAAGATGGATCTCTCCACAATGCCTATACCTACAGGGGTAAATTAACTTGTTTTAAAGTGCTTTTATTGTTGGCACAGGATATGCAAATACTTTATGTACATAGTCTGGGCAAAGGTTCACTTTAACTTCCTAAAACGTTGGCTGCTTGAAATAGCATGCTATTCTGAAAGTCAAAGTAAAAACAATTCCAGATGTCTGTACAGAACATATACAGCACTGCGTTTTCTTTTCTTTTTGTATGCTGCATCATGTCAGGAAGGATCACGCTCTGCCAATACACCTACTCTTGCTCACAGCAAAGCGTTTCATGTTTATTTGCAAGATCATGCAAAGCACTCTATGCTAAATGGAAGGGTTCATGTACTCCAGATGCATTATTTAATCCATATGTCTCTTTAATTTATTATGACATTCTTGAAGGGCCTGACCTAGTCATGTAAATGGAATTGAAGAAGTACAGGTTAACAAAGTAAATGTATTGTATACACTACTTTGTCCTAAAGAGTATATTAGTGAGAACTCATATAATCAGAATTTATGGTTTTTAAAGATGTGTTTCAGTTGCTGTAAACACGCTCAGTTGCATGAGTATTGAAGAGCTAGTTTCATATCTAATTTATACAGCCTCATTCATACAACACCAAAGTTCAATACTGCTCAAACAGTCCCATGTACAGTACGATGCTCACTATAAACAGAGGTACAGCAGATTGGCAACTTTCAATAAAATATTAATCACATACTCAGGATACACCATACAGGATACCCTTTTCACACAAGCAGACCGATCGGCTCTGCCTGTCAGGTTTTCAGGCAGACCCGATCGGACTGTCTATTCTCCTCTATAGAGCTGCAGGTGTAAACAGACATGTGTCCGTTTACATCTGCCTATTTCCAATCTGCTAAAAACAGATGATCTATTCCCCTTCCATCTAAAGGATCAGATGTCAGTCAGGTGTAAACGCACAGCTGGTCCTTGTCACTGTGTCTGTGTCCGCTCTAGATAAGCGGCGTGGACAAGGACCAGCCATCCGCCTGCTCAGTGGAGATCAGCAGACAAATCCTCCACTGGGCAAGCGGACTCCTTGCCTTCCTGAGTCCCATGGGGAAGGGGCCTATATGTACAGATAAATACAGAAAATATTAAATGTAAAGTATATATCATGTCATGGGTACGGCACATTGTGTAGAGCTTGGAACATTAGTTAATTTTGAGTTTATGGATGTCTTTTTTTAAAAAATATTTACCTTTGCACTCTCTTTATATTGTTTTTATTTACACTGACATCTAATCATTATTTTTCCTTTACAGCAGTGGTCTCCAAACTGCAGCCATGGGGCAGATGCAGCCCTTTGCTTGCTTTTATCCAGGCTTTGGGGCACTATTTCATCCACTGATACCAACAATGAGGCATAATTCCCCCCATTGACACAAACTAAGGGGCACAATTCCTTCCAATGACTCCAATGATGGGGCACAATTCCTCCCAATGACACCAACGATGGGGTAAAATTCCTCCCAATGTCACCAATTATCAGGCACAAGTCCTCTCAATAACACCAATGACAGGGCACAGTTCCTCCCACTGACTCAAACAATGGGTCGCCATTCTTCCCACTGACACCAAAAATGGGACACTATCCCTCCCACTGACACCAAAGATGGGCATTGTCTATTCTCACTGACGTCGGGACATTTTCTACTCCCAATGGCCACAGTTTGGCCCCCTAAAGTCTGAAGGACAGTAAACTGGCCCTTTGCTTAGAAAGTTTGGAGACTCATGCTCTACAGTAATACCACTGGCACAAATTTAAGACAAAACAGAAAAAAAGTATCTTATTAAATAGTTGTGGTAAAAAGCAGGTGTTAATAACAAATCCACCTTTACGCCACTTTTCATAAATTATATCATTTATATTTTGAAATTTGTGGACTGCATTTAGGGATATATTTTACTGACTTTACTTTTCCTTCTTCTTCTTTTATACATTGCAGAAAGTTTGAAGTTTAAGGACTCGTTCACAGCAGCTGATATGGCAAAATGCCTTGTTTTCAGTGGTATCAGTTCACACCAGAGCATGGCAGGCAGTAATTTTTTTCTGCACAGCAGGTTACAACATAAACCACCGCATCTCAATTACTCTGTGGTGAACAAAAATCTATTAAAATATCATTTGTGGAATTTCAGTAAATTTCTGTGAAAAAAGGAAACAGTGTGATGTGCTGAGATTGGCGCATCAGCACTGTGCCATCCAACGCACATTAGCAGCTGTGCAATCATTGCAACTCACTGGTGTGCACAAGTCCATAGGGATGCTCTTTATTGGTTGACTTGAGTTATTAAAGATGTAAGCTTTCAGGATAACTCAGATCCCTTTCAGGCTGTATAAGTTTTTTGTGTATAAATGTATAAAACCTGAAGAAAGGCTCTGAGTTATCTTGAAAGCTTGCATCTTTAATCATGTAAATCAGCTAAAAAATTGTATAATTTAAACTCCAGTTGTTAACACAGTACAACACTCAGCTACACCTTTTATACATTGAAAACTGCAGTCCAAAATGTTGTCTGAGGACTTGGATTGCCTCTTTTGGTTTTTGTTTTATGTATACCTCTGTAGAGCCTTCATTCATGGAATGCAGGTTGTTATAAATTATTATATTTGTACTTTATCACATGCGCCATTGCACATTTCTGTCCTTGTGACAGGAGAGCTGCAGTTCCTGCGGGACCAGTGCCAGCATCTCCAGATGGAACGCAGTATCCTGCAGGAGAGTAACAGCCAGCTGAAGAGTCATCTCTTGCTGCTGGGAGAAGAGAGGTACCCATCTTTACTTTATTCCAATTAAATATAGATATGTAGTGTCAAATGTTTGTGTTGTAATATGAGCCACATCTAATGATATCAATTCAGAATATTAATCTATGTGTATGTAGCATAGGTGCTGTAGGTTAATATGTATATAAATTAGGTATGTTCATGATAGCTGCAGAAGTCCACAACTGATATGCTCATACTTGTTTATTAGTCTACTAGATTCTGATAATATGAAGTATGCTTACAGAAATACTCGGGATGATCTGATTTCATTGGAGTCTTTAATACTTACTGATAGGGTAGGTGACAGTGTTTAATTACTAGCTTCACCTATTATATATATTAAGCCCTGCTGTAGAGATAATGAACCTGTAGTGGTTTGAATGATAATTACAGTGAAATGGGAGGAATGTTTTGCTTTGCAGTATTAGCATTAACTCAATGAAATTCCTACTGCCCCAAAGAGTATGTGTTTAATGTAGAATAGGCTCATGGTAATTGTATTCTTAGTATAGCACTGTAGTTGTGGTAATTTATTCATCCTTGTCTCTAGCAGGGAAGAAGATGCAGATCAAGGCAATGCATTAAGTGAATCTCAGCCGGAACAAACAGAAGAGAATAACCCGAAGGAGGAAGAACTGCCACAATATGATCCTGAAGGCACCATGCCCTCAGCATGCCTATTGAAAGAAAGACAATGACAGATGTTGAAAAGCAGAAGCTGACCCGGGAAGAGGAGAGGCAAAAACTGCACACCCAGCTCCAAAGTGCAGAACAAAAAGTGCAGAAAGCACAGGCTGAGGTGGGTTATGGACAGCCCTCTACATTCCATATCCTAGTGATATTGTTATCCTTCAAAGCTTACTGATCATTTGTATGTTTTAATTGTATCTCTACTCAACAAGCAAGAAAAGGCTGACATCTGTTTTTTGATAAACCAACATTTTATTTTAAATATCTTCCAAGTATGTTGCTTTGTTTGTGCATGCAGTTGAAAGGAAATAGGCCCAATTAATTCTTGGCCAATTTCCTGAAAACAGCCTGTTCACATGGAAGCACATTTTAAACAGAAATCACACTTTTTACTATGAGAAGCCAACATTTACAGTATGTATGTACCAGTATGACTGAGCAATTTTTTAAATTAAGACCTTGTAAACTTTTCAGAGACTTAAATGGTAAATATGCTGTACAAAAAATATATGTATATACTGCATTTCTGTGCTTGTTTTTAAGTAAACCATGGTCTTTAAAAAAAAAAAAAAAAATCCCCTGCTATGCAATGGCATAATGTGCTAGTATGCATCACATAGTAGCACATTGTACTTACCTTAGAACAAAGCCCTCCAGCAGTGCACTGTCACCAGTGACAGGGCTTCCATCTTCTGTCAGTCTTCCTTCAGGGTTTACTGGCTCTGGTCCATTCAATGGCTGAGCAACGATGATGTAATGCCCGTGCTTGCGCATGGGAGTCATGGTTTACAGTACAGAGCTCTGAAGGGAAGGCACGGGTAAGCTGTCCCTTCACAGCGCATGCACCGGTGACATCACTGGGTACATCCAGTGTGAATATCTCCTACACACATCAGGTTTAGGAGACATTCACTGTACCTACAGGTAAACCTTATTATAGGCTTACCTGTAGGTACAAGTTCAAAAGTAGAGTTTACTACCACTTTAATACCATGGATATTGTCTGTTCTTGAATGCCAGTTCACCATTTTGCATAGTACATGAACAAAAGAAACATTTTATTTTGCATAAGCTTACTGTTACCTTACCATAAGTACATATGAAATCCTTTGGAACGGTGCTTGATAGGTATACTTAACTGTATGCACATAGGTGTGAAGGAGAACTTTATCATAGGCAACAATACAAATCACAATCTTCAAATTAAGGAAGTGCCAAATCAAAAGCAAAGAGGATGACATACACATTGCATAGTCTATCCATGCAAAATGGACAATGACTTTAGTCCACTGGGAAGTTCTACTTTACTTTATCCATCAATCGGATTTCTTAAAGTTAAATAGTATAAATTGAGTTAATCTAGGCACAGAGAAGTTACTTCCTATCCTAGGATGGGTTTGAGAACAGGGACGGAATCACCAATTCCTAAGCCCGTAGCTTGGGGTGAATTTTATTCAGACTCTCAGATCTACTATATTGAGTCTGGGAAAAACGTACACTAGGATTCTGTTTTAGCTAAACCATGACTTCCACTGCAGCTCCTGATGTCATTTAGCTACTTGCAACACAGTCTTAAAAATAATGTCCTTATCCTACAGAGTACAAAAGGGTGAACTGTTGAGCCCTATGTGTATGAAAGGTGAATAGATGAGCCCTATAATCACTATAGAACAATTCTATCTCGGAAAAGATAGGAACGCTTGATTGTCAATTAGTTATTAAGCTGTGCATTGGCATTGGGGGGTGTGGGATTGGGCCCTTGTGTATTAGATCATGGTTGAGTGGGAATAACCCATAAGGGGAGTCTTCCACTGTCTGTGCAGCATGGCAACACCAAGAGGGTTTTAACCATAAACGTCTGTAAGCATAATGCTTGCTCTCCCCCCTCACCAAACACCAGATTCTTGGGTCTCTATATGAAGTAATGGGGAAGGCAGGAACAACCTACATCACAGAAAAAAAAAAATTTAGGGATATGCCTAGACCACAACCACAATCGTTTCCTCTACGAAAAGGAGTTTTGAAATTTTCCCATTTTCTCCCTGGCAGACTGGTTCGCATCAGGCAGCAACTATGAAACCTACTATACCATTGTACAGTTAATAATAAACTGCATATAAGCAATATGTAAGGACAATTATATAGTAATACAATGATAACTCACACCCTTTATAAAAATCTTCATACAAGTGATGCCTATGGACACCTACAGTAGATAACAGTCCAACTATACTGCAACTAGCACGAAGACCTGAAGGAAAAAACACAAAATCAATGTTATATTCCTGTTAGGTCAGAGGAAACAAAAATACCGAGGACACTGGGTAACTGTGCTCGTTTTATTGATAGTGGATGATGTGTTTCCTATTTTAGGTAAGTGGAACCCCTCTCTCAAGGGATGTCCTGAAAGATGATTTGGAAAAACCCATTGGCACCAGCCTTCAGTATTCTTACTTTGTATATAAATGAATGTATGCTGATGGTGATGGGAAGGTAGATACAAATCTTTGTAAAATTCTTGATTCTTTTTGCAGTGCGCTGGTCTCCTAACTGAGATTGAAGAGCTGCAGCAACGCCATCGGATCAGCCAGGAGGAGCAGGAGAAGTTGCAAGAAGAACTAAGATTGTGCAGAGATGAGATTCATCGGCTGAAGGAAAGTGGCTTGCAGGTAGCAACACTGCTACTTTTTACTAACAGGCTTTCATTTCATAATCCTGTTATGTGTTATACTACAGTATAATTATTCTTCCTTCCAGCTTCCCAGTCACTCTGCTCAAGCAGTATATTTTTACCCCTGAAATGTTAATATTATTGACATCCACAGGACATCTAGCACTGTTCTATTACGACATTCACACTGCTTACAAGTTAAATACATTACATGCACAATTTTCTATTCATTATTAGATTGTACTACATCAGATGTACTTGCATTAGAAGCACATCCTGATATACAACATACTGTAGGAACCTTAAGGTTTGCCAACTAACCACACCACAAAAACGTAAAGCTGCTAGCAGGTATAAAGTACATACTCCCTGACTTGCCTTCCCAGAACGCCTGCAGCTCTCAGTATCCCCACTATGCCCAAATGCTGGACCTCTTTGAGCTGCAAATATATGCCATTATATTTGATGAGGGCTTTCCAACTGGCCATTCCTATTAGGCAAGCTCTGACATCTTGGGTCCCTGCACTTTTTACCTTCCAGGTGCTATATTTAAGCCCCTTTAAGTCACTTAAGCCCCTGTTCACACCAATGCTTTGTCATGTGATTTGACAGTTCAAAAGTCGCACCCTATTTGTCCCTATGGAACCGTTCAGTGTGACTCCGGCTTGCATAGATTTTAAAAAATGAAAATGAAGTCGCACAGATGTCAGTAAGCCACACATGAAATCACACTGACCGCCGGCTTTGAAATCGTGCTACTTCTGCTGAAGTATAACAATTTCAAAGCCACATTCGGTGTGCATCAGGACCTACACAGAGAAGCATTGCCAGAAAGAACAATTTTACCACTGCTAGAATCAGAACTTAGTACTGAAATGATTTTGTTTTACAGTTAGAATGAAAGGTGATAGGTCTTTGGGTGCACTATAGAAAACCATCGATACAGTCTTAAAAAAGAAAATGACACTCACATGTTTTGAAGAAGAATTGCAGTGTACCATTAAAAACTGCTTTACTCAGTGTTCAACATTTTCCCAGAGCACAGCCCTTCTTTCTCAAGGCCATAAGAAAGGTGGGCTGTGCTCAACTGAAATTCTGTACACTTGGTAAAGCTGTTTAGAATGATACACTGTGACTCCTCTTAAAGAGCCATGAGTTCCCTTTCTTGTTAAGACTGTATTGATGGTTTTCTGTAGTACTCCAAAGGGTGCCTATCACCCTTTTATGCTACCATATACTATGTTATTGAGGTTACTAGTTGCCATATACCATGTAACTGAGGTGCCATGTTGTCATCTCCCATGTTACTGAGTTGCAATGTTGTCATATCCCATGTTACTGAGGTACCATGTTGTCATATATCTCATGTTACTCGGGTGCAGTGTTACATCTCATGTTACACAAGTGACATGTTGTCATATCCCATGTTACGGAGGTGCAATGTTGTCATACCCCATGTTACTGGAGTGCAATGTTGTCATATCCCATGTTACTGGAGTTCAATATTGTCATATCCCATGTTACAGAGGTGAAATGTTGTCATATCCCATGTTACAGAGGTGAAATGTTATCATATCCCATGTTAGAGGTGAAATGTTGTCAAATCTCATGTTACAGAGGTGGAATGTTGTCATATCCCATGTTACAGAGGTGAAATGTTGTCATATCCCATGTTACAGAGGTGAAATGTTGTCATATACCATGTTACAGAGGTGAAATGTCATATCCCATGTTACAGAGGTGAAATGTCATATCCCATGCCACATAAGTGAAATGTTGTCGTATACCATGTTTCGCAGGTGAAATGTTGTCATATGCCACATTCCTGAGATTCCATGGCATCACATGCAGTGGGGAAAATAATTATTTGATTCCCATGCAGATTGTGTAAATTTGCCCACTTACAATGAAATGAAGGAAATGTCATTTTTATCACAGGTTTATTTTAAAGATAGAGACAGAATATCAACCAAAAATCCCATGAAAAAACACACAATACAAATGCACATATGAAAATAAGTATTTGATCCCCAATCAAAACATGATTGGTGGAGAGACCCTTGTTGCAAGCACCGAGGTTAGAAATTTCTTGCAGTTGGTTAAATCTCAGGAGAATTTTGGTGATCTTCTCTATAAGCTTTCTTGGCTGTCGTTTGCAACTTGAGGTTTCAGCTCCTCCATAAATGTTCTATAGAATTAAAGTCTGGAGACTGGCTAGGCACTCCATGACCTTAATGTGCTTCTTCTTGAGCCACATCTTTGTTGCCTTGGTGGGTCATTAACACAAAAATAGTGAAGCGCTAAAACGAATCCCTAAATACGCACACAGGCATAAATAATAATAAATGATATCCATAGACATTGAAAAACAAAATAAAACCTTTGCTAAAATTTGCCCACTTACAAAGAAATGAAGGGTCTGTCATGATTTGATGAAACAAAATATATAAAAAACACGACGCACGTTTTTTTCCCAGCCCAGAGACACATCACTTTCCGGTCAATGATGTCCGAGACAGCGACCATATTGGTTTCCCCCAAAAATCCATGAATGCAAAATTTTACAACAATACGCATGTGATGGAAACCTATTGGGTTCTGAAATAAATGGTGGGTTACACTATGGGAAGCTCTGTTTGTGTCCTATATGACGTTTGGGAGGAGGTGGAGAGGAGGTCCTGTGATTCCTTATTGAGCTGCTTGGATGAAGCAAAGGATTACCTGGATGACCTTGTGGCCCTTTGCGGGTCGAGTTGGGGAGGTTGACTTGCTGCCATGGAGGATTTCTTCCTTTTCTTTTTCATGTAGAAGTGGAACACTGAGTGTCGTTTTCACCTTACTGCATGGGACTGGTTTGTTCATTTATGGAAATATTTTAACTTTTTAGTGGATTTTTTTATGTTGTTTAATATATGTGTTTTCACAACAATCACGTTTGCAGATTCACTATTTATATGCCTTTATTCAGTTAGGGTCATTATTTATTGGTTATCACATATAATTAAAGTCTTTACAGATCTTCTCTAAATATATATATTAATTAACCTTTTTTAATATTTTGTTTCATCACTGCTTATTTTTATTATCATGGATCTATTTTTTATTATTGTTTGATTTTAAGAAATTTAGGGGCATAGCAAGGTTTTATTTTGTTTTTTCTATTGATATATATTTTTTTTATGTCACATAAATGTGATTTATGAGATATGGTTTTCATTTATTATTATATGTGCGTACGTTTTAGGCTTCACTATTTTTTGTGTTTGTTACTTTTTCACTTATTGGTTAAGTGCAGAGTGATAGCTTCTTGGATAGGGACCACCCATACCAAGTTTCCTTAACTTTTGGGTCATTGTCATGCTGGAAAACCCATCCACGACCCATCTTCAGTGTTCTGGCTGAGGGAAGAAGGTTATCATCCAAGATTTTACAGTACATGGCCCTGTCCATTGGCTCCTCAATGCGGCCTGTACCTTTAGCAGAGAAAAACAGCTCCAGAGCATAATATTTCTACCTCCGTGCTTGACTGTAGGGATGGTGTTATTAGGGTCATAGTCAGCATTTTTCTTCCTCCAAACATGGCGAGTCGAGTTAATGCCAAAGAGCTAAATGTTTCTCTCATCTGACCACAGCACTTTCTTCCATTCCTTCTCTGAATAATTTAGATGTTCATTGGCAAACTTTAGAAGAGCCTGTACACGTGCCTTCTTGAGAAGGGGGACCTTGTGGGCGCTACAGGATTTCAATCCATGGTGGCGTATTGTGTTACCAATTGTTTGTTTGGTGACTGTTTGACTGTGGTCCCAACTGCCTTGAGATCACTAACAATCTCCTCCCATGTAGTTCTGATCCCTCACTTTTCTCATGATCACCCTTACCCCATGGGGCGAAATATTGCATGCAGCTCCAGACCGAGGACAACTGATGGTTATTTTGTATTTCTTCCATTTGTGAATAATCGTCTCCTTCTCACCAAGCTTATTGCTGATGGTGTTGTAGCCCATTCCAGCCTTGTGCAGGTCTAAAATCTTGTCCCTGATGTCCTTTGACAGCCCTTTGGTCATTTGGCCATGATGGGGAGGTTTGAAAGGAAGAAAGAGATTCTGTGTGGACAGGTGTCTTTTTTATACACATAATGAGTTGTTGTTAGGAGCACCTTCTTAAATTGACAGGACTAATTGTGTACCACATAGCCAGTTTGTGGGAGCCAGCATTTTTGTTAGTTGGTAGGGGATCATAAACTTATTTTACTCACTCAACAGCAACTCAATTTATAAAATTAGTATCATGTTTTTTCTGGATTTTTGGTTGATATTCTGTCTCTATAATTTAAAATACACAATGTAAATTGCTCTGAGAAGTAACAATAAACACCGTGACATATGGATACATTAGTGAAAAAGTCCATAAAGTCCATGAGTTGAGCACTATATTGTGGCAGCTCCCCATAGAGTAAAGCAAGACTCTGTGAAAATGAAAAAGGGAACAAAAGGGGGCGCCAGCCTAAGTGCAGTATTAAAAGCAAATTTATTATATAAAAAAACACCTTGTGGAGCTCAGACTAACTGCAGCCCAGAGAAATGTCTGATCAACAACAGTGCCATCCAATCAGGTCTGAAGAAAAAGCGGAAGCTTTTAAACGCGCACCTGACTCATCCTTGCACTCCCATTGGATGTTGCTTCTGGTCCGGTCTTCTGTGCATTCCATGGTGGTTATGGTGTCCTCGGCTGACGGCCCACAATCACACATAGCCAGCTGTGTCTGAGCTTCAGCGGATCTACACTGGCTCTCCAAAGACATCTCCTTGGGACACAACTTATCCGTTTATACTTATACACTTACCACAGTTGTGAGTAGGGATTTGGCTGTTTTTTATTTAATAAATTTGCTTTTAATACTGCACTTAGGCTGGCGCCCTCTTCTGTTCCCTTTATCATTTAAAATACACCTATGATAAAAATTATAGACCCTTCATTTCTTTGTAAGTGGGCAAACTT